CTTGTTTCGTTGGCCTTCGTTGAGCTTGAGGTATCGATCGATATGCATCTTTTCCATTGCTGTTAAGGTGTCCGAATTGGCGACATGTGGATCACTTCTCGAATGTCTTCACAAACCGGCCCTTCGCGATTCGTTTCCAATACATGTACTTTGCGACTATGCGGAACAAATAGCTAAAGTTCGTGTGTTTCCTGTTTAGTTATTGAATTAATTGATCATTCATTCATTTATTGGAAGTTATCTAATTTCAGGGCATGGCTTACCTGGAATCGAACCGCTTGATTCATCGTGATCTGGCCGCCAGAAATGTTCTTGTGTTTAGTCCAAAAAAGGTGGGAAATGTGACTCCTTCCGTAATAACTCAATATGATTCCTAAGCCTCCCGAGATTGTACAGGTAGCAGTCAGATGCCCGGTGGAACTTCTACCCGTAAAAAGGCTTCGAAGAAGACTATGTTCGCCGAAACAGCACAATAAACCACCTGTACAAATCTCGGGAGGCTAAGGAGTCATACTGAATTGTTACGTCTCTGATGCCGAGATTAATCGAAAGCCGATCGTGTGATTCCTTCCGTCTTCGTCTTTGTTCAGTAAATTGACCACGATTACGAAGGCCGATCGGATGAGTTCCTTCCGTCTTGTCTTTTTGTTTCAATGTTGACTTCGTTTCGTTGAAACTTTTTTCCCTTGCGTCGAGTGCAGGTCGGTCTAAGGGGAGCATGTGGGTGTCATTTGCACTTCGATTGCTGTTTATTCTCTGCAACGTCTATTACTATTCCTTCTTGCGTTTTCGGGTCATTTGGCACTTTCGCTGCTTTTCAACGTCGTGTCGAGCCATCAGGTGGAGATTAGTCACTTGTGAAGCCACTAAGTGATAACAGCCATTGTTTGTAGAAACTACTTGTCAACTCTTGTAAACGATTCCTGTCAATTCTTGTTAGGCAGCGTTCAGACTTCGCGATGACGCACGTCGACGCGCGTCACAGCGCGTTACAGCGCGTCAACGCGCGTCATCGCGAAGTCTGAACGGTGCCTAAAGCCAGCAATACGACAGTGGAAACGTGCGAAAGTGCGAAGTGCACCTCCCCCTGAACCGAGTTGCGCCGAAATTAATCCTTTCCAAAACTTTAATTTTTTAGCTCATCAGTTTCATGGATTTTTGACACTGTTTACCCCTTGTTGCCAAATTCGTACCAAACTCAGGCCGAAGGTGTTCCCCTATAATAGATTTGGATAACAACTGGTCCATTGGGTAGTCTGCCCCTCTCTTCCCCACACTCCCCCCCGCCACGGGTCGAGCACCACGGGTAGCTTTCGCCCCGACACCCATTAACCTGGTGCCCTCCGGGGGCATTTGCACTTTTGCAACTTCCCACGATCTTGGTCGACCCATCTATAAGCCTTTCTTAGTTGACAGGTTTCACCATTGTTCTCGTATGAGCTTGCTCCAGCTTTACAGTCAGTTCATCGTTCTCTATGCGTTAAAGGCATGCAAAACCGGAACTACTGAGCAATGATAGTGATAAGCGCCCTCCGTCCGAATTCGCGCCGTATCCTTCAGACATTTGTCTTGTGAGTCTTTGTTTTTAAGTCGATTGTTATGAAGGAAACCTCCTGCTTCCCACGAAAGGTGGTTTAGTCCTTTCCCTAGCCAGTTTTTTCTTCTCACAGCTGCCAAGCAAACAAAAAAGCCCCGTTTCAATTTTTCTATATGAGTTTTTCTGGGCATTCAAATGAACGTGCCAATGCAGCTGCCAGATTCCACGAACAGCTGGATTCCTGTTGTTTTTGTTTTGCTCGTGATGTCACTTTGGCGTGATTATGTGGCGCAATAATATCGAAAAAAATTTCGAAAATTCCCCATCCGTGACATCATTTCCTCGGGTTGTTGCCATCACTGCTGCTCATTTTTTATATTTTTCATTGAGCTAATCTATGAATTTTTTTCTAGCCTTTTGCCTGGTTTTTTAGACTACCTCCATGGGGAACAAGGGTAGTCCATCTCCCAGAGTTGGCGAGGAAATTGCTCCGTACTTCATTTGAACGTTTCGGTGGCTGTCTTTTGGCTCTTCGTTTGGGGGCAATTATAAATACGGCTTTATCCAGTACATGACAAGGTGACAGTTGTCCCAAAGCAAATATCTCGCAGCAAGAAGCGTATTCTACGCCATGTCCAAATAGCCTATGTCCACGCCCTCCCCATCTACGAGATATGGATGGCATCACAAGTCAAGGTTCCTATGCCGCCCAACCGGGGTCGAATGCTTTTATCCAAGCCTCGTTTTTTGGATGACAGTACGACTTGTACAAGCTGTCAGCTTCCCTACGAGTCAAGCCACATTCAAACCCTTCCAAACCGCCTGTAGCAGGTAAACAACATCTCCATGTAGTTCTGAATGGTAGCAGGAGAATTCGTAGCGCATCCCTTTCTGGGAATCCGAGGAAGGGCCGCGAATGGCGGCATCCTCCTTTACTGAACCAGCCGTTTTTCTCGACTAAGAGAGCTGTAGGAAAATTGTCTGTAAGCCACCTCAGAACTTCGGAAGTGACAGTTTGGATTGACGGCAAGCTGGCGAACTCTCAAAGTCTGAGAATTGATCTCAATCTCTGTGAACTATAGAATCCA